TCCAAGTTAAAATGAGGAGGATTACACAAAATATTTTTAAATAAAAGCCCTTGGCTTCAACAATCAATCACAAGAGTGGTGTGAATCCCAGGTTGAACAATTGCTGGGCAGATTTCCTTGCAAAAGTATTTTTTTGTGTGTGAGGTTTTTTTTGGGGGGGGGGGAAGGTTGTGGTTCTGATAGAGTCTTCTGTGACTAGTTCTTGGCATTAGGCACAGATGCATGAGATCCTCTCCTTTATGACCTTCTGGTTTTGTTTGTTTATTTATTTTGTGTGATTAGGGCTTGATAGAAATGACTCCTCTTGATTCTGACAACCTTCACATATTCATCCTGTCAGTATCTCGAGCCTGTGACCAATGTCAGGCCCGGGGTTGGGGATGCAGCAGAGAACAGAAACAGGCCGTCTGTCCTGATGGTTCACAGGGAGCCTGTATTGATAACAGGTTGCTCGTGCTCCACACAGAAAGCACTGAATGAATGAGGCCAGATGGCGTCCTGAGGGTCTAAAAGGGGAGCTCTTGGTCCATGCTTTCCCCCGGAGCAGTCTGCATTACTGGGACCCATCCAGGTCACACCCCTCTACCCCTCTGCAGGCAGCCTGCCTGCCCCAGGGCCCCTGTAGTAGCAGGGCATAATGGAAACCCATTTGTCAAAGCCTGCTGCCACGTTTGATCCTATAGAAGCTGGCGATGCGCTGCCATGCATGCATGAGCACTCTGTCTCCACGGGGTAGGACATTAAGCCCAGAGGAAGATTTGTGTGCCACATCCGAGTAATGAGCTGTGAAATCGACATTATAAGTTTTAATTATTATTAATGCCTCACAGGGGTGGCTGGTGTTAATTGTCCTGTAGGCATCCCAGATGTATTTCCCCCTTCTCCTTTCATATCTTTTCTTTAATGTCTTGAGCCCGCATAATGGCGCCTTCCTGGCAATGTTTGAACACAGTCCCTCCAAAGGGGAACACATCTGTGGTCCAAAGGAGATGGGTGCACGGCAGCCTGCTTGCCCTCTCAGGCTGGGTCATGGTGGTGGGGGTGGGGGCTGTAAATCTCAAGTTTCCAGGTTGCCACAGTGAACTTTGCGGAATTCTCTTTCCCCCAATAGAATTCACCTGCCTCTGGGCCTTCCATGGACTAATTAATCTTCTAAAAGGCTTTGAAGATGAAAGACTGTGGAGAGGCCACGCGTTACCATTTCTGAGCATTCTTTTTTGACACAGGGAACTGGTTCCTGGTTCTTCTGCCCTCTGCATTAACCACCTCTCAGATCATTTCTGACATATATTTTTCCCCAAGAAATAGGTCTCGTCATCCTTAAAAGGCTTATTGCCCTCTCAGTTTTGCTCTGTCAGATGCTGTCTGGGCAGTCCAGAGGGGTGAGCAAGTGGGCTTGCCCTGTGCCTCTCTCCCTCCATGCTCCCCTGGCCCCTGTCCTTCCCTACGTCCTTCTTCTCCTCTGTGCCCACCAGCAGGAGCCACAAGGCACAGGTGCATGACGACACGGAGCTCCTTGAGGTTCATTTGCTTGCAACTGGTGCTCCCACCTTGGGGTCGGCTGAAGTCTGAACCACCCATGGAGCTGTGTTCAGGGCGTGCATGGTCCCCTGGCTGCCCCAGCCTGACCTGCTGGGGCACCAGAGGAGCAGCTTCACCAGTTGGAGCCAGGGCCAAGTGCTTTTCCCTGAATCTCGGTGTAGTCCCTTGGCGTACTGGGGTCCTGGGTCACACCTCCTAACTTTCCCCACTCCCTGTCCCCCATTCAGGCCTGACTCAAGGCGAACCTGATTCCCTTGAACTGGTACCATGCCGGGACCCTCGCAGGTTCTGCTGGTCAGGGTAGACAAAGGACAGCCCTGAGCTGGGGCCCCTGGTTAGAACACAGTCAGTACAGTGGACCAGAGGTCCCCGGGCCTAAGGAGCCCCACCTGAGTGCTGAAGGTCTGGGATAGGACAGGAGGTAGCATGGAGCTCTGTCTGTAAAGCCCCCAGTTCCCAGAAGCCCATCCTCCTTGAGAGAAAGGGGCTGCTGCCCACTGTGGCTGGACTGGTGACCCAGGGCCAGCTCGGGGGTGGGGTGCTCAGGCACCATGCTGAGGAGCTTGTCTCCCCGGAGGGACACGGAGCCACTATAGGCTGGTAAGCAGTGGGGGGTGGGCCCCTCACGTGCTTGGCAACCAACACACAGTGGGTGGCAGGGGTTTGGTTTCCATGGGAGCCGAGAAGGGATGGGGCAATGGGGAGTGGAAGGCAGACGGTAGAGCTAACAGGTTTTGAGGAGGAATGGACACAAGGATGACCCCTTGCTTAGCAGCTGGGTGGAGATTCCAGTCAGGTTGAGGCGACAGTGGTGGCGTGGCCTGTGGACCACACCTGTGGTTCAGATGGGTGGGGCCAGGACCCATCTGGAGGATGGATGAAGCCACAGTCCCCTGAGGCTCACAAGTGCATCCTTTTCAGGACTGGGGAGAAGGTAACGTAAGTGCCTCTGTCCTGGGGGCAGTCTGCAGCCCTCGCCTGGTAGGAGATGCCTCAGTGTCCCTGCACCTCAGCCCTCCTGGCCACACTGTGTAAGTCAGGGCCACCGCTGTACATCACGGGGGTGAGCAGTGCTGGCAAGTGGTTTCCGTGCCAACTGTCTAGCGAAAGCTGGGGACGGGGAGTCCAGAATGGATACCCAGAATCCCCGTGATGCAGGGGGCAATTCAGGGAGGAGCCTGTGTTCCAATGCACAAGAGAGACGCAGGGGGAGGCAGAACCGGCATGCAAAGGTCAGGTCTGGCTTGTCCTGCCCGCCACTGTGATCAGTCCCAGCCACCACTGGGGCTGTGGCTCTGCCATGGAGAGGAGATGGGCCGTGGGGTCAAACCTTTTCCTCTGTGCACCTGGTGGGGGCTGGTTTTCAAGCTTAAGATTTTTTCTTAAAAATGGGTTTCTTTAAAATCTCACTGAATGGAATCTGAGTGTCTCCATGTGGTCAGTGGTGAAGATACTCCCGTATCCTGAAAAGGTGGGCCTTGGACCTGGGGCCTGGCACACACACCAGGCAAGCACTCCACCGCTGGGCCACATCCCCAGGCCTGTATTCAATATTTAAAACACAGGTAAACCCAATTGAAATAGAACAACAACAACAAAAAAGTACTTTTTAAAAAATTTAACCTACAGGTGGGGCCACGGTTTCTCAACCCTTTGACGTCCTGGGCCGGGTGATTCTGTGTTGTTGGGAAATGTCCTGATTGAAGGATGTGCAGCAGCATCCCTAGCCTGTACTCCTTAGATGCCAATAGCATCTACACTGTAACAACCAAAAATGTCTTCAGACAAAGTTGTCCCCGACTTGAGACTCCCTGGGCCAGGGCCGCTGGCCCTTATGTGGCAGGGAAATTCTCCTGGTGGCCCACAGCCAACAGCCTCTTCCAGTCTTCTCTGCGTGGATGGCAAATCACCCCTCTGCCTCCGCTCTCTGAAACCAGGGCCTCTTACCATCTATTGTGCAGACATTACAAAGCTATCCAGAATGAGTATTATTGCACACAAACTGATTCCCCCCCCCCTTTGAGTTCTGTAATCAAAAATCCTCTGGTGTTGCTATTTAATTGGGTAGTGGTGGCTGTTTGTCAGTCTGCCAGCGGGTCTCTTAACTGCTGTCGCCTGACCATTCTGAGACATAAATGTAGAATGATGGAGTTGCAATGTGCTATTAAGTCCTCTACAAAGAGTTTTTGATGTCCTGCTGCTTCGGGCTTTTGTGCTGGTATTGATTGATTCGAATACTACAGAAACCCTTGGCACAGGCAGCCCTGGTGAGAAAATGCAGCCTCTGGTAGGAAAATCACTGGGTATAGACACGGGGACAATGGTAAGGCTTTCCTCTGGCTTTCCTTTGGCACAGAATGGACCCTGGGCAAAGCTCACTCCGTCGAGCAGGTGTTGGCCACCCATAAGGAAATGGAAAAGAAACTCATGCAGCCAACCCGTCTCTTTACAAAACAGGGCCAATTAGAGGAGCCCAGGAAGTGCCCGAAACATCAGATCAAGCCTTAGGGTTGTTTGAGGGAGAACAGAAGATTGGAAAGAATTCTGTTCCAAATGCATTTTTAAGGCTGGTCACTCTGATTGCCAAAGATGGCAGATCCTTTTTGGAGAGGGTGGACAGATTTTGACAGGAAAGGCAGGGACCTTCTCCTGATGGTAAGAAGATAGGAAATCATAGTTTTGGAACAGACAGGCTACTGTAGGCAGCAACAAGCTGTGACATACATCCATGGGAGTGCTGGTCTGTGACAGGGGACCAAGGACTGGGAGTGGCCTCCCAGCTCCTCAGCCTGCCAGGTAGTGTCTCGCTGGGATAGGTTGCGCACCCGCTGCTGGTGGAGTCCTGGCAAGGCTGGTGGGGCATGACTGCTGCAGTGTGGACTGGCCCGCTCAACGCCAACCCCCCTGCACATGTCCTGATTTGCTGTGAGGGGTCAGTCAGCTAGGGAAAGAAAGTTCTGTTGGGTCATACTTGTAGGAAATCTGGTAGCTTTTAGACAAAATTTCCTGAAAAACAGCACCCAGTGGGGAAAGGTTCCGCACAGAGTAATGAGTAGGAGCATTCTGCAGCCCCGACCACCTGGCTCCAATCTACCTACCACTCCTAAGGGTGGGTCCTGGGCAAGTTACCCTCTGTCCTGGTGCCTCAGATTCCTCTTCTGTAGAGGAGGGTAATTGCTTCCTTCAGAACCTTTCAGTGCAAGTGAGTTGGTCTTTGTAAAAGATTAGAGACCATGCCTGGTCCTCATGGTACCATTTAGAGGGGGACTCCCATGGCCAGGACCCTCTGGTCTCACTGTGTGCTTGTGTGCTCCTGTGACAGGCTGTCTGTACCTTTGAAGTATTTTCCACTTGCAGCGTGTTCTCGACACCCCCAAGACTCAGAAAAGCCCCTCAGAATCCCAGGCTGCCCATGCAGGCCCCCCAACATCAGGAAGGGCCGTTTCCAGTAACCACATGTTATCTTCTGCTTCCAGAACCTATCCCAGCTGCCCTATGGCAAGGCCCTGTACAGCTACGAGGGAAAAGAACCTGGTGACCTGAAGTTCAACAAGGGGGACATCATCATCCTGCGGCGCAAGGTGGATGAGAACTGGTACCACGGGGAGCTGCATGGCACACACGGCTTCCTGCCAGCCAGCTACATCCAGTGTGTCCGGCCCTTGCCGCAGGCCCCGCCCCAGGGCAAGGCACTGTATGATTTCGAGATGAAGGACAGAGACCAAGACAAGGACTGTCTGACCTTCACCAAGGTAAGGAGAGCCCCGCTGTCGGCCTCTGTGCCCACCCAGAGCCAGGGCAGCACCTTCCCAGTGAGTGTGAACCCTGGATCCTCCCTGAGGCCTGGGATAAAGGATGCAGCCTCCTGCTCTGTGCCTCCTCCAGGACCGGTACTGGCTGCATGTGCTTCACGGAGTTTCTGTTGAATGACATGAGATGGCACCAGCAGACACTTGGTCCACCCACAGCTGGCACAGGAGCACGACACCCTGTGACCTGCCATCAGCATCAGGAGCAGGACTCCTGTTGCCCCAAGTCATGATTTTAATTCCAGTGCAGGGAAGTGAGTGTCGAGGATACATGGGATATCAGAGAGACTGCTGCACAGACCCGGGGCAGCTCCCTGGGATGTGATAGCTGACGCCAAAGCAGGGCCTCATAGCCCATCCCGCAGGCAGGCCAGGCCGGGCCGGGGCAACTGTTTGAAATAGTCAGGGCCAGAAAATATATTTGCCCATGGAGTTGTGCAGAGGGCCTGGTTTTGGCTGCCTTGGAGTTCCTGTTGATTAGTTATCTACTCCCAGTGCCTGACCACACGTGCACAGTTTATCCCTACCCCTCGCCGGGTTCCCAGGGGGTCCTTGCTCTCTAGTGGTGCTCTCTTCTTCTCCTTGTCTTGTTCTGTCGGCCTGTTCTTCCCCCACTGCACACCGCTGCCCTCCCCAGTGGTACATACCAGAGCTCTAATCCTACTTTCTCTTTGAGGCCCCTATTCTTCCCAATTCCTGGCGGCCACTGTGATTCTCCCTCCTTCCCACCACCCCATCTGCTGGTGCAGAACATAGCTGTGGCACCGCAGCTCCAGGGAGGGCTACAGAAGTGCCATGCACACCATTTTTTTTTTTTTTTGAGCAAAATTGGCATGTCCTTGCCCGGCTGCTATTTATGTCTTGTTCTATTGTTCGTCCTGACAGTGAATAATCTATTTTTCATTCAGGGAATCCAACTCTTTCTTCCTTTCTTTCATCAAGGTGTTCAGATGCTAATTCCCATTGTCATGTGGCTGGGGCGGCTTCCCAGGAAGCCGGCAGCACCCCCCCTCCCTTCTCTCTCTCTCTCTTTCTCTCTCTTTCTCTCTGAGTGGCAGGCTTCCCAAGGTACCTTGCTTGCTTCTCTGCCCAGTGGACTCTGGAGAATCAGTCCTCAGAGTACCCTGGGGGCTGCTGATCCTCTGTGGTGTCACTTGTGACCTCACAGTATCCAGCGATGGCCTTGCTAAGAAGATAGGCACCAGAACTGTTTCAGGCTCAGCTGGCTCCAATGACAGAAACCACCAAGGTCAAGGCCCTCCTCCCAGGGCTTCCTCGGAGGAAACTCTGGGTCAGGAGAACTCACTGTGAACAGCTTCAGAGTCTGGGAGCTTCCAGGCTGGTCCAGTTTGTCCCCGTAGAAGCGCATGTCTGCCTTGCCTACAATTGCCACAGCCTTTTCCATTCTGGGGGCCTCTGGCCAGGACACTCGACTCCAGGTAAAGACCAGAGCCCTGTGGACAAAAAGTCAAAGGGACGTTTGCCCACTTATTCTACAAAACCTGCAGGACCTGGTTCCATGTTGCGCACTGTGCTGTGTCCAAGGACAGGCGGGCTCCCTGCACACTCCGGAGCCTGAAGTCTTGGGCTTGGGGAAACTCAGGCCACAGGCAAGTCAAGAGAATTAAGTGTGCAAACGCCGACTTCAGAGGATGATGAGCTGGGCTGGATCATGCCTGGAAGCATGTAGTGAGGATCTCCAGATTCCCAATGATTCCCAGAGAGTCCCAAATTCCCAAAGAGTCCATTCAAAACTTCAAGGGAGACATCACATCAGTCCTCAGGGACACCTTGCAGCTGCGTTCGGCTTGGACTTACTCTGGGCTCAGCATGTTTGGGGGTGCACAGCTGTGTGAGCTGCAGTCTGTCCCCAAGGCAAGCATTGTCATGCAGGGCCTCTTCAAGGTGACCTTGAGGTGGAGGAGCAGAGGTGCCTGCCGTGAGAGGGTCTGGACTTTCCTGTCATTGGAGGCAATGACAGTTCCTACAGGGGCGGACTTTTCTTGAATTCATAACAACTTTCTTTTCTTGAATCTCATGGGTTCCTATGGAGAATCAGAGACCCCTGGATGCGATTCTCAGAGATATTCATGCTCCGACACCCGCCTCCCACCATGCTCCACATCCCCATTTTTCCACGCTCACTGTAGTGCTGGAACCCACAGAGTGAAATGTGGGAGAGGGGACAGCAACCTTAATAACTGTCCTGCTCCACGGGCACCTCTGGGTTCTAAATGTCCCCCTATCCAGGCTCTGGAAGACATGGCAGCTCCTCAGGACTGCCCCTCCACTTGATCTCTGTTTCCTGTTGTGTGCCAGAGTCTCCTGAGGTCTCCCTCCAGTGGGGGCACCTGGCCCTGTTCATTGGCAGGGCCTGGGACAACGCCGAGACCCACATGGCCACTGTCCTAACAACCCCCACTCACTCACACTCCAGGTGACCCCGGGCACTCGTCCTTCAGCTTCTCTGGCCAGTGCCAGCCGGTTTACCTCCAGAGACCAGTTTGTCCTTTGGATATGTTCCTTCCTGGCATCTGTAGGGACGGGGTCTGTACAAACGGTGCCGACTGTCCTCTAAAGCACATCATTGTGCTCGATTGGAGGCACTTGGAGGAGACATGAAGCAGGTGAACCAAAGGTAGATTTTTTACCTTCAATGCTGAATAGTCCTGTTGAAATGGCATTCAATTAAAGTCGTTCTAAAACCAGTCTTTGTTTTATTTAAGAAGAGAATGAATAATTACCTTTTGTGAAGCAGATAGAAAAAGCACATTTTATGACTTCTCAGTAGTCCCACTCCACAAAGCTGGGCTTGTGCAAACACAAAGACTAGGGCAGGTCCTGCCCACAGGGCTCAGGAGAGCTGCCCGCAGCTCCTCTTCTCCTGTGCCTTCTGGTCCACAGCGGGGCTGGGCTTCGTGGAGAGGCACCTGTGCAGATGGAGACCCAGGGATGTGCTCTGGTGGCTTTAGGAAGACACTTAACCTTGCTGGTCCAAAGTGGCTTGACTTCATGTCAGTACACCAGTGCCCAGTCTATGGGGTCAGGGATACACGATCTAAGTACAGAGCTGAGCTTCGGGCTTGGCCTACAGAGGGCAAGGTGAATGCCATTTGTATTTTGTCAGTTTAATCCCAGTCTCTTATTTCCTTTTAATGTTTCTTGAGTCCCTACTATGTAACTCTCTGTTAACAAGAATGTCAGCATCACTAGGGGACTGTGGCTCTGAAGGGCTTGGCCCGCCTTATGGATATCCTCTGCAATATCCAGGAATCCTCAAAGGCAGGGCCTGGCCACTCACAGAACCACTTTTGCACCTGACTACAGAGGGTCCTAGGCTTGCCAGGTCACCCCAACTCCGCACAGTGTTGCCATGTGAGGAGAGAGCTGCGCTGGGGGCCTCACCTCTCATTCCCTTGCCTATTCCCAACCCGCAGGGCCAAAAGGATGCTTTAGGTTGACAAATCTGACAAACACCGTTGGTGTCTCCATAAGCTCCTCCCATGTGACCTCCTTAAAGTCATCCCCTGAGTGTTTAATCACCATGTATCAAAAGCACAGAGGCATGCCAGGCATGATGGCACACCCAGTACTCCCAGCAGCCCCCGAGGAGGCAGAGGCAGAAGGATCACAAGTTCAAAGCCAACCTCAGCAATTTATTGAGACTCTGTCTCAAAAAATAAAAAAACAGACTGGGATGTGGCTCAGTGGTTACATGCCCCCTGGGTCCAATCCCCAGTAACAACAACAACAACAACAGAAAGCAGAGCTCTCTCCTTTGTAAGCCAATCCAGCATGAATCCCAGATGATGTTCTCTGACCCAGGGGATAAACTTAGATGGGCAAAACTCAAATGCAGACAGAGTTTGGGTTCTCAAGTCAGATGTAAGTCCAAATCACTCTTCTTGTATAGTGACTTTGGGGGCATTTACTTAGTCTTTGAAGCTCTTTTTCACTATAAAATTGGGTTGATATTGGGATTAGGGGAGCAAAGGAATTGGAAAAACAGAGCTCAAATAGGTTTTCCCATGAATATTTTCTTCCTGGTTCAGGAAAAGTTGTGGTTGTGCTTATAACTTACTCACAGAACATAAATGTCTTCGTAAGACACATACTGCATGCACAGCTGAGGATTTCCAGGGCTGCTCTGCTGCGCTCTTACTTTCCTGGTGGCCGAGTCTTGGAGAGGTTTGCTCAGGGTGTGAAATGGGCCAGCCCCTTGTATTGGCACCATTGCTCCATGGCCAGCAGAGCCAGCCAACTGGGCCGGCCTCTGGACCACTCTGTCATCCCTGCTTCCTCCTAAGTGGGAATTGGGATGCTTTCCAGGCTGGAAAGAATTTTTGCCTTCTGCTTTTTCCATGACTCAAAGCGAGATGAGCCCCCAAAAGAGCGGGGCTTACTAACCACTCTCTCCTCCCTCCTGAGCACCCTGTGTTAGCTTTTCATCACTGTGACCAAAATACTGAAAAAAAAAAAACAGCCTAGAAGAGGAAAATTTTGTTGGGCTCATGAGATTTGAGCCTCTGGTCAGCTTACTGCATTGCTCTGGGCCTTGGGGTAAGGCAGAACCTCATGGCGGAAAGGTATGGCGAAGGAGACTGCTCATTAACTCATGGCAGGTAGGAAACAGACAGCAAGAGAGGAGTGAGGGACAAAATATAATCCCCAAAGACATGCCTCCAATAATGTACCTCCTCCAGCCACACTCCACCTGTCTACCATTACCACCCAGTAGTCCATTCAGATGATTAATCCATCAAATGGATTAATCCACTTCTTATGTCACAGGTCTCTAAATCTAGTCATCTCACCTCTGAACATTCCTATATTATCCAACATGAGATTTTGGGGTTTTACCTCATATCTAAACCATGACACCTCTCACTTGGCTTTGTACCCTGAAAAAGTTATTGGGGCCACGTGTGGTGGCACATGCCTGG